CTTTGTGTCCAGCAGAAGAAAGAAATTCATTCAGGTTTGGAACAACTTGAGGGTGAGTAAATGATGACAATTTACATTTTTGGGTGAACTAACCCTTTAATCTGGCAAATGCTTGGCTGAACTATGGAACAGTACCGCAAAATACTGTAATTTAAGCTGAATTAAAGTAATTCATACACGTCACTGACCTGAGTCCCTCTCAAAACCAACAATCCTGTAGTCATTTTCTCCAAAGCCCAGCTCCTGTCCGAGGAGGAAGTCGCTCTCCAGGACGAGGTTTTCCTGATTGCAAACCCCTGCACCATCTTCAGCTCCCACTGCAAAAAAAAAATCACAGCCATTACCATGCTGGAATCAATCTGATAATGACATCACTCTTAAACATGAAAGTAAAAAGAAAGTATTCATTTTGAGATTCTCGGTTTTGGGGAAATAACCAGGTCCACTTGGATGACTCCTGTGTCATAGTCCACTAAACCTACTAGCAAAGTGTCAATGTATGGTACACATTTGGTTCCTAAAAGTTTTAGATGATTTTTCAGACTTTCAGAGTAAATATATTGTACGTCATTTAGCAGCAGTTTTATGTTGGCCATCTTTTGATTTCGGCATTGGCAATTGAACACTAAATAAAAAAATAAAAAATGACTAACTATAAATATAACATTCTAGAGGACATCTCAGATGTTAAATGGGATCAGCCAATGATAACAGTGACAAGACTGATGGTTAACAACACTAGCTCTGGATAGAGGAAAAAATATGATAGAAATGAATAAAGGAGGAAGGAACAGTGAAGAGACACTAGATAAACAGAGGGAATTGGGTCAGAGTTGGGTCAAGCCCGAGTCCCACAGCAGGAACAGGGGGTCTGTCCAGAGGAAACGGAGTAAGGAAAGAATGACGACAGAAGAAGGGGAAGCTGATATGTTTTCACCGAGATAGAACCGAGCTTGGCTGGTTCTTAAAGACACGTAAATCAATATTAAAGAAGAGCTTTTGGAAATAGGCTGGATTCTGCTCACTCAGTCAAGGCATTGTGAGGAACTAAAAAGAGCTTTGTTTTCTTAACGGACACAGCAAAAGGAAAGACGTGCTCAAGGTTAAACTTGTGTATATTCATTTAGAAAGCAATGAAAATTAACACTTACGCTATTTCAACAGAAAGTACTGAAAAAGCAAGTTAACAAGAGCGAAAGTACAGTGAACAAAAATGCAAACCAGAGTAAAATAAATAAATATTGTGATCAAGGACATGCGACTCAATGACAAAACATATCTCCAACAAAAGTGTTTCATAAACACATTCTGATCTGACATTATTAAGTCTAAATGTGCGTCAATTACAACTATAATGTAATCAAAACAACATTATGAGAAAGCATTATGGTCAAATAGTCAATTTATTGTAGACTATGTCATGGTTGCCTATAGTCTGAAAGAAATATATACACACACAACATTTTTATGCTCTTGTTGATTATTATCAATAGAAACAATCACACTGATTTCAAAATAAAAGAAAATCAGGCATTATTTTCAAGAAATAACAGAAAATATAGTCAAACTGTAAATTAAGGTGAAATCAAGTGAGATAGAAGTCCAGACTTACATTTGACAGGCTGTGGGTTGGACTGTTTTCTTCTGGGCATTTTTCTTAATGTGTCTGTTAATAATCAGCAGTTCCCTGTTGAGCTGGTCTTCATCACCATCACCTTCCTCTTCCTCATTTTTCTCTTCCTCCCCCGAACAAAGAGTTCCTCAATTCCCTCATAAACCCCGAATTAAACACCATTATCACGTATATATCCCCAAAAATCATATTCAAACAGCCAAACATCAGAAACTCTTGTTATAATTTATGTTAGCTTGAGCTAAAATTAAACTACACGCATAATACTCAGACAGGACAGTAGAAACACTGTCATTTACGATTATATGACCCTCACATCGCAAGGCTGACGTCTGCAGCCTGATTTTAATCCACATCGATGAAAGAAAATTGATATTTTGGATGTAATTTGTGTTTATCCTGATACCAGTCGAATGCTAACTAGCATGACTAGCTAGCCAAAAAAGAGAACATACAATAAAAGTCCAGTGTTTATAACCACTGGACAGCCAGCAGCGGGAACATCAACGTCTCTCCATGAGGAATTATTCGTCCACGTCAATTGTTATCCCAGTGAACTGTCTCCATGAGTTGAAGAAGTGAAAGTGTGCAAGTTTCATTGCTGCTGCTGCTGGTGTTGTGATGGGAATGTGCAGCACAGGAAGTGATTGAAAGAGTTCAGTGTAAAACAGAGAAACCGCGACATCTACTGGAAGACCAGAGTACAGCATCGCTATCTATCTATCTATCTATCTATCTATCTATCTATCTATCTATCTATCTATCTATCTATCTATCTATCTATCTATCTATCTATCTATCTATCTATCTATCTATCTATCTATCTATCTATCTATCTATCTATCTATCTATCTATCTATCTATCTATCTATCTGTCTGTCGGTCTGTCTGTCTGTCTGTCTGTCTGTCTGTCTGTCTATCTGTCTGTCTGTCTGTCTGTCTGTCTGTCTGTCTGTCTTTAGGCCTATACAGCATATATACATGATATATATAGCCTACATTTATAGATAATAATACTGTAATAATAATAATAATAATAATATATTACATTTATATAGCGCTTTTCTCTGCACTCAAAGCGCTTTACATAGAAGGGGGAATCTCCTCAACTCATTTCCATGATCAGAAAGGAGCAGATGGAAGAATAATATTTATCTGGCCCCTTTATAGACATCAATAGTAGATGGCATTACAGTAACATTGTTCCCTCCACCATCACCTAAGATTTCTTAACATAAATAATAGATGGCATTAGCATCACCCAAAATATATTACAGTAACATACATAATATATGTCATTAGCACTGTTCCCTCCTCCACCATCACCCATTCTCCAACATATAATATTTATTTAAACTTTTATACATTTATACATTGACCAAATGCAGTTCAATTCAAATTTCAGTTTAATATAATTCAAGTTGTTTCTTTTTATATCTCTTTTTAAATTCCAAAATATTTTTGAAAACTTTTTAAGTCTTTCCTTAGAAGATTCCATGCTTTTACTCCAGCAACAGACAAACACATCTGTTTCAGATTTGTTCATGCTATTAGATGTTTAAAGTCATACGGCCGTCTGTGATTTCCATCTTCAGAAGTACAAACAAATAACTTTTGTAAGTCATGTGGAAGAGCTTTGCTTCTAGCTTTAAACATCACTAATAAAGTTTGTAATTCAACAATATCTTTAAATTTTAATAATCCTGACCTAATAAAGAGTGGATTTGTGTGGTCTCTATATCCTGCTTTAAAAATAATGTGAATGGCTCTTTTCTGTAAAATAAATAGAGGCATAGTGTTACTGTGATATATTTCCCCATATTTCTGCACAATAGTTTAAATAAGGCAAAATCATTGAACAATATAACATTTTCATTGTATTATACGGTAAACTGTATTTAACCTTTTTCAAAATAAATAGGCTTTTTGCCATCTTATTTTTAACATGCAATATATGACTTTTCCACGTCAATTTTTCATCTAAGTTGACTCCTAAAAATCTAATTTTAGACACCTTCTCAATATTTACATTATTTATAGATAAGCTGACTTCCTCTTTTCTTTTATTGCTGAATATCATAAACTTTGTTTTGTTCAAATTTATAGATAATTTATTTTCATTCAAACCACAATATTAGTTTATCCATTTTATCTTCAATATTATTAGCTAAAGTTTTCAAGTCATTACCTGAACTGTATAAATTTGTATCGTCTGCAAATAATTTCAGAACTGCCTTAATTCTACGAGGCACTGATTCAACAAGGTGCTGAAAGCATTCTTTAGAAATGTCAGCCCATATTGATAGGATAGCATCTTGCAGTTGATGGAGATTTAAGCTCCCGTTCCACCACATCCCGAAGATGCCCTATTGGGTTGAGATCTGGTGACTGTGGGGGTCATTTTAGTACAGTGAACTCATTGACATGTTCAACAAACCAATTTGAAATGATTCGAGCTTTGTGACATGGTGCATTATCCTGCTGGAAGTAGCCATCAGAGGATGGGGACATGGTGGACATAAAGGGATGGACATAGTCAGAAACAATGCTCAAGTAGGCCGTGGCATTTAAACGATGCCCAATTGGCACTAAGGGGCCTAAAGTGTGCCACGAAAACATCCCCCACACCATTACACCACCACCACCAGCCTGCACAGTGGTAACAAGGCATGATGGATCCATGTTCTCATTCTGTTTACGCCAAATTCTGACTCTACCATCTGAATGTCTCAACAGAAATCGAGACTCATCAGACCAGGCAACATTTTTCCAGTCTTCAACTGTCCAATTTTGGTGAGCTCTTGCAAATTGTAGCCTTTTTTCCTATTTGTAGTGCAGATGAGTGGTACCCGGTGGGGTCTTCTGCTGTTGTAGCCCATCCGCCTCAAGGTTGTGCGTGTTGTGGCTTCACAAATGCTTTGCTGCATACCTCGGTTGTAACGAGTGGTTATTTCAGTCAAAGTTGCTCTTCTATCAGCTTGAATCAGTCGGCCCATTCTCCTCTGACCTCTAGCATCAACAAGGCTTTTTCGCCCACAGGACTGCCGCATACTGGATGTTTTTCCCTTTTCACACCATTCTTTGTAAACCCTAGAAATGGTTGTGTGTGAAAATCCCAGTAACTGAGCAGATTGTGAAATACTCAGACCGGCCCGTCTGGCACCAACAACCATGCCACGCTCAAAACGTCTTAAATCAACTTTGTTTCCCATTCTGACATTCAGTTTGGAGTTCAGGAGATTGTCTTGACCAGCACCACACCCCTAAATGCATTGAAGCAACTGCCATGTTATTGGTTGATATATATATATATGATTTAATGTAATGTGAAATGTCTGCCTCTATAAGAACCAAAAGACAAAACGCATGGTTTTTCCATTTTCCGTTTATTGGAAAGTAGGATTGAGAATAAGAATATTAATAAACTTCTTTTCTAACCTTTGCAGTGAAATACAGTATTTAAACTACATTCTTTATCTATTGCCCAAAAATACAGCGATGTATAGCTATAACTTCGTCAAAACTTCTCACTTAGTGAACAAAGAAGACATTTTTTTTTTTTATACATTACAATATGAGGGTAGACATATGCTTCTACTAATAGAAATGTTACTAGTTTGGCATAGAAATGCCATACACCAAACCATTTCTATGAACACAGGTGGACTGGTTCCTTATGTAAACCCCTCTGTTGAACAATCAACTCTAAGGGTCTGAAACATTTAATAACACAGTGCTAATACTTCATTAAAGCACAAAACAAGCCATTGATATACAGTTCATTGTGGTTAGAAATTATTAATGCATAACATAAGGCCACTTTTGTGGCTGACGATGAATTTATTGTAATAATTTACATGTATTAATAAGAAATGCCACATTTTTGTATTATTATTGTTCATCCTCTTTCAATGAAACACATTCACGCAACAAATCCATATACACACCTCTAAACCGCTGGCTGCCAGTGTTTGAACTCCACAATCATATTCATAGCACCAATAGCTCCTCCTGTGATTATAGTTTATGTAATAGGTAAAGAGGTATGCTCATTGTCCAGGATATTGTTCTTTATTGGAGTATACTACTAAATACCCGTACACTACCTTACAATTCCCGATTTGCTGAGGGAGCTGAGAAGTTTACATTAATATTGCCTTTAATGCTCGTCTTGAATATCAGAAGATGAGCTGACGGGTCTGATGACAGACCAGGGTTCCTGATGATGCCTTGGTTAAACCTTGATGATGCTAAGGGAGGACGATGTCCTTTGGAACTACAAAAGAGTATAAAAATGGTTAGAAATTAGAAAAGAATATCAATAAAACACTGAGGCAAGAACTGCTATATGTCTATTTTTACAGCAATCACGTGAATTTTCCATAACACTTTACAATAAGGTTACATTTGTTGACAATAAACTGACAATTAAAATATTTCTAAAGCTTTTAACAATTTTAGTCAAGGTTAATTTCAACATTTGACCAACATTTGACTAAAAGTGAATCTGTTAATATTATTTATAATTGACATGAGCAGACATGAACTCACAATGAATGCATTTTTTTGCATTTATGCTATAACTTCTGCTATAAGATTAATACATACTGTAGCAAATGTACTGTAAACTGTATTAAAGGTTGGTTAATGCACACCTAATGCATGAGTGTAGCTTGCGAGTTGCGACTGGAAGATACTATGTTATAGTTTTACAAATATATGATTTTTTCAACTTGAAAGTAAATATGTATATAATATATGTCTTTTTAAGTCGTTGTTTTTTAAAAATAAATTAATAAACAGTTATGCTGTGATGCATTTGCATTTAGAAGATAACAACAGATGTCTGTTTTAAAGTCATTTTTCACTCCTTTATTTGCTTAATAAAAAAATTAAATATTATATATATATATATATATATATATATATATATATATATATATATATATATATAAGCTATAGAAAAGCTCAAATGTGCTGCAAATGGTGAATTTCTAAAGCAAAAGCCCAGATGTCAAGCTATACGCCCATGACCTAATGTTAACTAATGGGACCTTATTGTAAAGTGTTACCAAATTTTCTGCATATGAAATACCCGTATGATATTGTCAAATTATGCAGTGTACAGTATTTTATAACACAATGAAACATGCAATAATCAAACATACAGTTACAGCATGTTTCTACATTGACATCCTTTGGAAAGTATAGCCATGTATTTTGAGAGAATCAAATATTTTATTTTGTGTACTTATGGACGATAAGAATAAATATCGCAATATTATCATAGACTTCCTTATTTAACCTTACAGTATCCCAATGTGATGAGTCAATCAAGAGTAATTTAAGGTGTGATTTTTAACATCTCTGCATGATTTGATAAGACTATAGAGTTCAGACATACAGTTTTTACATAAAACTGAATTTAAAAATGCTAAATCATTTTATTTGATTAATATTTGCTGAATGCATAACACTTTCAACACTTTATAATACAGTAATAAAGTACTTAAAATTATTTGTGTTTATAGTTAACTATAGTCTTTGTTTATAATATACTATTTGGATAGGATATATATGGATGTTTAATAAGCTCATATGCAAAGAGTTGTCTTTTAATGAACAGTTTTTCAATCCAGTAAAGTTATTGGTTATTATGGGTAAACAGAACTTTCTCACTTTAGATTAGGTCACAGAAAATCATCCTTTCTTGGACATAAAGTACAAAAATATTAAACATCAGTTAGGGTTAGGATACAAAGCATAAAAGCTAACATGATCTAACTCTTTACAAGCTAATTAAACAATAATTTGTAAATTACAGTGACTGAAGAACTGTATAGTTTATAGTTTACTATTCAATACTTTTATCCCTTAAAAATAATAGTTGATCACCCAAATTTTAAAGGTTTTTCTTTTCACCCCCTGTAATAATAGCTTGAATGTAACTACACCCTTGCTCATTTACAATCCACAGACCCATGAATATGCTAATTCGGCCAACTTACTGAGGTAAACGCTGCACAATGGTATCACTCTTTACAACGTCGGACACTTAAAGGTAATACAGTAATATGATTAGCCTTTTGCTTGACCTTATCAAACAGCTAATTCACAAGATGTAAACAACACTGGTCCAGAAGCACTTCCTGTTTCAGTTTTTTAACACTACATAAAAGCTGGGATAAAATACAACCAACAGAACATTTAAAACTGAATTAAAGGGTTAAACAAACATCTTTAAGATGTTTTCTTTACATGTGAAATAAAGAAAACAGTTACAAACTGAAACAGGAAGTGTTTCTGGACCAGTGTTGTTTACATCTTGTGAAATGGTCTATACCAGGATAGCATGGCTTCTCTTCAAATTCTCCTGCTTCACAGCATGATATGCAAAACCCCGACGGCACGTTGACGTGATTGGTTACAAGTTTGTGACGTCATAAACACCAGCGATTTCAAACCGCATTTTTTAGTCTGTCTTTAGTTCACTGCTGTTTTAAAGAGAAACTACTCAACAATGGTGTTGACTTATGAATATGCACATGGTTTGTCTTAAAGCATAATAAAAACACCACATAGACACATAAACAACATTGATTTTTACCACAGGGGGACTTTAAGTACCCCCACAACCCCATCAATAAGGCCCCCTTCATTGACACTAAACCAACAAATCAATGTTGTGGGTAAAAAAGACTGGACAAAATACACATTTTAAATTTTAATATTTTAAATACAACATTTGATGGAAAACAAACACTTATTTAAAAATAAAAAAGACATGAAATTACCACTATAACCAGTAGATGCGACAGAGCAGAACTTATTTCCATTCCCTAATATTGTTTTTTTCCCCTCTTTTTGCTTTTAAATTTATATTTAGACATTATAAACCAAAAAAAAAACTTAAGTTTTATCAAAGTTTATGAGTTTTTGTACTGATGTAGCCTTACAAAGTCTCATGAAAAAAAAACTGTTCTTAAATTGACTGGCAATAAATTGGCGATGAATTACACAAAGGGTAAAACGAATGCTTTTTTTTTAATCACTGAATCAATGAAACCCGTTTTAATCAATGAAACTAACTAAAGTGCGCACTAAATGTCAAATTCACGATGCATTTGCGCTTTGTTTGTTATAATGCGTTAGGTTTGTCAGCATGTAGAACTTAAACTGGCACTAAACAGAAATTAATTTGAGGAATATCGGGTGGATTCTCACAACTAGTAACTTAAACACTTCTGACTGGACATAACTTTCAACAGACATGCCAGTAATTGGCTACAATACTCAATGCTGCAAAATCACGTTGTGACACATTTGCAGCGACTAATGCGCTTGGTGCGATTGACGGTGTTCCTGGCATATGCCTGTTCCGCCAATGCAGAACAAACCAAGCTAAGTCTAAATCGCGTACCCCCTGGAACCTGCACACGTACCCCACCTAGGGTACACGCACCCGGTGTTGGGAATGACTGGTGTAGATAATGCAGTATTCCATTGGAAACAACAGTAAGGGTTGCCAGGTCCCAGAAAAATTTCCAGCCCAAAGCCGACTCAAACCCCGCCCAAAAGGAATGAAAACCAGCCCAATTTACCCCCGTCCAATCACAGTCGAAAGCTGCGGGATTCCCATAAAGGTCCTTAATACATGTTTTGATTTTGTTAATTCTATGGTTTAAATCTTATGTAGATGATTATAGCCAGACATGTTTATATGTATTTGTGCTTATTTAATTATTTAATCTGTATTTTATCCCTCTTCAGTAACTACTTTTTTAAACGTTGCTACTGTTAATTCTTCTTTTACTCTGTCTATTGTAATTTTCGGCACTTGGCATGATAAATTGTTTAAAATGCAAGCTATAAATATGAATGACATAGCCATCCATTAAAGTCAGTTCAAGTCCAATTTGGGCTATTTAGCTCTTTTCACAATACACATCATCTCAAAGCAGCTTTACAGAAAATCATGATGTTCATAATTTATTCATTCCTTTTTGCCTTATAGTCGCATTTAGCAGATTAAAATGCTATGTCTATAAGATATTTGCCTTATAACACGTAGTAACACTTTACAATAAAGTTCAATGGTTAACATTAGTTAACGTGAACTAATGAACAATACTTCTTTAGCATTTATCAATCTTAATTATATTATATTAAACATTTCCTAATACGTTATTCAAATCAAAGGTTGTATTTGTTAACATTAGTTAATGCACTGTGAACTAACATTGATTTTCATTAACTAACATTAACGAAGATTAATAAATCACCAGCTCTTTCCGTGGCCTTTAGGTTGCCAGGTATTCATTCCAAGGATCAACACACTTTCAATAAAAGATTGCGTTGAGAAAATCTATTTCATTTGTCTTTGTCTACAGATTTGGCGGCCACTGTACATTATACAAGTATGCGGTACATTTCCCGTAACTGCATTTTTAAAATAAGCCAATTGTGCGGGAAAGCCGCGACCCTGGCAACACTGACCACAGTGAAAGCCACAGTGTTGGTCAGTGGTGAAGGTCTCACCTTGCTGCCCAGCAGGCCTCCGTTATGGTACTCTGGGGTACTTTGGCCAGACAGCGGCTTGCTTTTCTCTTTACTGTGGTTGTTGGAATCGTTGTCTTTGATGATATCATACTGCTTACAGAAGAGCACAATCACAGCTGCAGCAAGACAGAGATCAGATTGATTACGGGGACGCAGATCTGATACGTTTAATTAAAATAAAACACTATCTTCCATCTGGATATCACAATTGAGTTTGAAAGGACAAAAGTTTTCTTAAGGTCACTGTAAAAAAAACAACAACAAAGCAATACTTACATTTTTGAAATGCAGAACAGAGAAAGTTAAAATATTGTTACAGTATATTGATACTACCCTGTAAAGCCTCCATCTCCATGGCCTTGAAATTATAAACCTGATCAAAACTTTGCTGATTTTCATAAAGTAAACATAAGAATAACATTTACAAGTATTATTTCAAATTGAACACTTACACTGTAAAAAAAAATATTGTTGGTTTAACTTAAATTAACTTAAAAAATTAAGTAACCTGGTTGCCTTAAAATTTTAAGTAGATTGAACTGGAAAAAGTGAGTTAATACAATGAAGGAGATTGATTTAATCATCAGAAACTCAAAATAATAAGTTATCTGAACGAAATAAATTATTTAAGTTGATTTGACAAAAGAAAAAATGTTATGATAAGCAAGCTTGATTACTTGATTATCCAATCATCTTTTAGAAAAAGTATCAAAAGTATCAAAGTATTTTTAGAGTATTAAATGTGATAAATCCAGCATTTGATGAACAGTTATTTGTGCAATAAAAACTATTACTTTAATTATAAAATAAGCATTTAAATATAGACAAATTATTGGCAGATATAAAGTGACAACTGATATTTTTATGCATTTATGTAAGTAGTCTGCTATACTGTTATAAAGATCTCATTGATTTACATTACAAGCTATCAGAATTTGATCTTTCTTTTTGGTCAAATAAATATCAGCAACTGCACTGAATTGCATATTTTTGCTCAGTTTGAGCCTCTGAACAATATTGAGAAGAGCTCCATATTCTTGTAGGCTATATCATACATATCATATGAACCATAAAAACCTGATGTATCAAATCAGGCTTTACAGGGTTAAATGGAGGGACAAGTCAAATTATTTCCTTTGGTAAACAATATCACGAATATCATTGCAACCAGAATATTTTGGTAACACTTTACTTGAAGGGGTGTGCATAAGACTGACATGACACCTTCATTACCATGACATGACATATGTCTTGAATATGAAGTAAGGTTTATGCAAGTGTTTTTCACTCAATAATGACATTTTGAATGCAAATATGACATTGTTTAAGATGTCTTTGTTATGACATCTTGACATAAACCAATACATCATAACCTGTCAGTCTCTTTGTCATGACAAAGTTAAACTGTCATGTGGTTGGCTTTGACATTGGCTGTCATGAGGCCATTATAACTGTGTGATGAATATTTTTCGTGACCTCAACTACAGTGGTACTAATTGAATTTGTCATTAAAAAGTTATAATGGGTTCATGACAGCCAATATCAAAACCAACCACCTGGTAGTTTAATGTAATATTAACCAATAAAGCTAGGTGGCTTCTTATATTTGATAATTAATCATGTTTATGACATGTTTATTGTGTTGTCTTAGTAATGTCAAGTTGTCATGACAAAGACACTGACAGGTTATGATGTAATGGTGTCATAACAAAGACATCTCAAACAATGTCATATTTGTATTAAAATGTCATAACTGAGCGAATAACACTTAATGACAGTCACAAACATGCGTAAAACCTCCTTCATATTCATAACATATGTCATGTCATGGTTATGAAGGTGTCATGTCAGTCTTATGCACACCCCTTTAAGTAAAGTGTTACCAATATTTTTTTACTTGTTTATAATGATTATGTTTAATTCAATCAAAGACAATGTCATTTACCTGCCCACATTAGTAGTACAGTCATTATGATCAGTATCTCTCCAGTCTGAAGGTGTCTGGAAATGTCTAAACCCTCAACCGCAGGGTCATCTGATCAGGTAAACAACACAACAACACGTGTTAGAGGATGAAAGAGATCATTGAAGTAATGTCAGAATTAATGATGATGTTATTTATTACCAAACTCAAGAAATTAGAACGTTTTGTGGCTTTTAGTTCATTTCCGTCATGGCAACTCTGTGAGTGTTCAGCATGCCAATGGATGACATTGTTGAGTAGAAAGGATTAATGTACGGGACAAATAGGCTATATGTACGCATAAGTTCCGCATTTGATGCAAGGCTGCTCTTCAGTTTCCAGTTGGGGAGATTAAAGCGGAGGAAAACCGAGGAAACGGGATTACGGCAGAGTCTTCAAAATGTACTGTCCTACCGTCTTTGAAACGAAACTTTAATACGTTTAGATGTCATTTTATATATAGTTATGTTTACTTAATAGAATAAACAAAGAAGCATAAACAAAATGAGGGATGTCTGTTTTGTCTGTTTTTGTGACTAACGTTTCTTTAGTATAACCTTAGAGTATAAAAGCCAATATAAATTATATCTCTACGATCGGCGGAAGTAATCCAGCATCCTTAGACCTTCACCGGAAATACCACCGTGCATAGAGCCCATACACACTCAACACACTCTTGTGAGTAAGTAAGACATGCTGCTGTTCAATATGCCGTACAGTACATGAATTAGCCAAATAGCAGATCTATACAGGTGGAGCTGGGGAAGGTAGAGGGTTACTGAAAGCTTGCAGTGAGCTCATTGGCTACTGAAACAGCAGGAACCAATCAGCTGTGCTCTGTAGAGAATGACTTGAGTTCATCTAGAGTTTCATGACAGAACTTTGTATGTCTGTGAGCTTTGAGCTCATCATATACTAATGCACCACAAAAACAATTGCTGCATCCCAATTCGCATACTATCCGTCCTAAATAGTGTTCGAAAATAGAATTAGTACGTCCCAAATCGTAGTATGTTGAAACGAGTGTTTTAAAGGGACCTGGATGGTCTACTATATCCGGTCAGAATCCGAAGTGTAGATCGATGCACACTCTAATGGCTGATATTGCCCACAACCCATCGCGGGTTGGACAAGGATTCGTTAGAACTACAAACACGAGTAAAAATTGTTAAAAACCTACAGACACGGAGGACGCGCGAGTCCCGCGGTTATGTTGAGAGGTTTAGATAAAGAGCTTTGAGTGAATAATTGTCACTGTAAAAAAAAAATATTTTCAATATTTGTTATCACAACATTTTTTCTTTTGTCTAATCAACTTAAATAATTTATTTAGTTGAGATAACTTATTATTTTGAGTTTCTGATGATAGAATTAATCGCCTTCATTGTATTAACTCACTTTTTACAGTTCAATCAACTTAAAATTTTAAGGCAACCAGGTTACTTACTTTTTTAAGTTAAACCAACAATATTTTTTTTTTTACAGTGTAACCTGACGAAAATGAATTTATTCAAATGTTGTCCACATTATATTTCATCTGCAGCAACATTGTGAACTTTTGTAAAGATACGTTAGCAGGATGCACACAGCACGTTACAGAGCTGTCAGTTAAAGATGACGTGATAGTATGTCCCAAAGCTTTCCTACTCTTTAGCAATCACAAAAAGATTACATACTTTTAGGGCGTAGTATAAGTGAGCGAATTGGAACGCAGCAAATATTTTCCAAAGACGTAAATAAAACAAAAGCTTATTGGATTATGCTATACAAGAAAATAGATGTTCAATTTTTCTACTTCAAATTTATGAGTGAAATTGTTTTAAAGGGATAGTTCACTTTGAAATAAATTTTTGATATGTTTTATCTTACCTCAATGGCATCCAAGATGTAGGTGTCTTTGTTTCCACAGTATTTTCAATTTTGACATTTTTTGGTCAAACCGTTGTTGTCTGTCAGTCATATAATGCAGGTCTATGGGGTCCACCTCAAAAAGCATGCACAGAGAAGTCAAAATTAAACATGATTTAATGACTCGTAAATGTAAATACAAATTGATGGCCTAAGACACGAAACGAGCGGTTTGTGTGAGAAAACGAACAGTATTTATATAGTTTTTACGTAAGGGTTAATGCCCGACGAGGTGTCCATTGTCAGGTTTTAATGGACGACGGCGAGGCGTAAACCGGCCGACGCGCAGCGGAGGACGGTTGCCTCCGCCGAAGTCCATTAAAACCTGACAATGGACACCTCGGAGGGCATTAACCCGCTTATACCATGGTCACTTGCCAAATAAAACATTTTTAAAACATTAGTTTATATTTTAATTAGGCTAAATCTAGTTTTTACAAATAATAACTTGCCTTGCCTGACTGTTTATTTAGCAACCGGAGATATTTATAGTCCGCTTGGCTCGTATCCCTTCAGGTTCACAAATGCTTTTTTTTTTTCATGAAACACAAAGGTAGGTAGGCATAGTTTTTTTTTATTACACATAAAACAATTAATCAAACAACAATAAAAAAACAATTAGCTCTGAGCTCCAGCGATTTGCGCTTAACGTTATAGAGGGCAATAAATTAATCAGATCAAAGAGAGGGTCATTTGCCTCAGGCTCCTTAGGCTTGAAACGCTGTAACGTTCAGCCTTCTCCTGCCTTGGTTGTCTGGACAGCTGCGTAAAACTCCCGCAGGGTCTCATTCAGGGGTGCGTTTCCCGAAAGCATCGTTATCCAACTATGGTCGCAAGTTACGTCGTTACCAATAGCGTTCAATGGAGCAGAGCAGCAGCGGTGTAATTTTCTCCGTTTTATTTACATTTTTTCTTTCTTAAGCAGCATACCAGTCGTCAAAGTTGCCATATTCTCCATAAATGTTAAAAGAAATAGCACGAAGTCGCTCATTGTTGTATTAGGCTATAATATCTAACGTTAGATGATAGAGCATGTGACTGCCTGTTGCTATGGTTACTCACAGATGTTGTAGGCAGCGCATTTATTTATTAATTTCGAATGGTAAACAGGCAGTTTCACCAGAACTACTTTACTAGGTGTCCTCTATCACTTTTTAACGGACACCCTGCAGCCAATCAGAATCGAGTATTCACCCAGACCATGGTATAACTCTTATTAACAGCCGTCGAACTGCTCTGAAACATATTTAGATATATCGAATTCGTCTTCCATTGCGATTTCCCGTATATCTAAATTGTTTAGTGAAAGGTAAAACTTCCAAAATCTCAGTGTAAACAATGCATGACGTAGACGCACGATAGATCACTTCCGGCGTCACATTGGAGACGGTTCAGTTCGGTTCAGTTGGACATCTGATTCAGATCAGTTCGACGGCTGTTAGTAAGAGGTAAAAACTATATAAATACTGTTCGTTTTCTCACACAAACCGCTCGTTTCGTGTCTTAGGCCATCAATGTGTACTTACATTTACAAGTCATTAAATCATCCAATCATCCAAAATCATTTCATTTTGACTTCTCTGTGTATGCTCTTTGAGGTGGGCTCCAGACATCAACGATTTGACCAAAAAATGTCAAAACTGAAAATACTGTGGAAACAAAGACACCTACATCTTGGATGCCCTTGAGGTAAGCTAAAACATATCAAAAATTAATTTCAAAGTGAACTATCCCTTTAAAGTAAATCCTACACCTTTTCTCAGTGTAAATGATTAAAAAAACCTAGCAGATACAAATAAATGAAACATGTGCTGGTTGAGTCAGTCAATACTGTCTTTCAAGAAAAAAAAAAACATGAAATGTGCTTTATAAAATGATTCACATTGTATTAATGCTGATCTAACAGACATGTTTACCTTGATCCATCATGGTCGATTGAAAATGTTCCGACTTTTTAAGCGTCCTGAAGTGAATCTTTTTGCTGGCCAGACTTTCTCCATAGAGTCCGACGGATTGGACCTGGATAATATAGTCTGTGTCTTCATCCAGATCCCAAAGTATACAAGCATGACTGGTAGTGTTCACCTCACGAATGAAACGCTGCATCAACCCGTCCTGACGCTAAAACACACACATACACACGTTTAAAGATTCATTAGAGGGCATATTTATTGCAGATATTAAACGTCAGACTCTCCCGATTGTAATATAGGGCTGAATCTCATTGTAATAACTTTTGTTTGACCTGCTGTGAGATGGCAAAGCCAATTACGGTCTCTCCATCCAGAATATTCCAGGACACGGTGGCCGAATCTGCCCGCAGGTGTGTAACAGAGACATTGACAGGAGCAGCAGGGCGGTCTGTGAAACACAAATCACCAGCATGAATCATGTCTTAGCACAACCATCTGATGCACTCAGACATATACATACATACAACTGGAATTAAAGCTGACACATTCAATAAAAGATTCAGGCTCCATGAACGTCGTGTTTAAAAACATTACATTAAACATGTTACTGTTGTATGCAAAAGGGATTTTGAGAAGCTTTGTACAGTAGTATTTATAGATTTATGCTGTCTCTGCTTCCCCGAGACATCCAAGGAACAATTTGACACCGGCTCAATGAACAACTACAATAATGCATTTCATAAATATGCAATATTTCTGTATTCAGCTGATTCACTCTGCTGGGATATTATGCAAATGAATTCTAATTTTAATTCTTCTCTTTAATGGGATAAGCGTGACTCAGTTGGTTAAACATTACTGCCAATCCACAATGCTTTGCCAAATCTCTGACTTTCATGTGTCAAGGAGAAATATGTGTTGGACTGAAAGAGGACATGCAGTAGTTTGTGTCACACCCAACAACATATTCTTAAAATAAAAATCACAATCCAAACAATCTATAGGGAAGATAAATACTAGTGGATTCTGACACTTTTAATCATGTTTTTCCTGAATCTGTTCGATTATAGGCACGACCTTCTGCTACATTATAACAACATGTAATCTGCTTTATATGCATGATACAAAAATGATGTGCCTTGACAATCATACAACATACCTTCAGATCAATTAGAAATTGTGGTGGTAAATAAGCTGTTTTTATTAAAGTAAAAAAGTAAAAAGTATTTTTGCAATGCTCAGATGAGGTAGAAGTAACTCCTGCACATTCATTTAATAGGTGTATAGATAACAGAAAAAGAACCTTATAATGCAAAAAAGATCAACAATTAAGGAAATGGGTTGAAGAGCAAGTTTCATTTGGTCTTTGCAAACATGTATATTTCATATATTCTAAACATTTGGCATTTTGCTGGTATCCAATAATTTCGTATATGAATTTAAAAAAAAGCTGCATGTGACATGACCCAGGTCAATCTCTAATCTCTAATACTGGAAGTCCAGATTCACATCCAAAGGCACTGGCATCTTTATTGTCTTAAGTATGCTTTCTAACCAGAGCTCATGCATAAATTGGCATATATTACTTCAAGAGGTAGATAGAAAACAATTCAATTACTGAGATGACCTTATGAATAAAACTGGCTAGAATGAAAAGTGAGAAATTTGCTCATAATCAACAGAATGTTTAACATCATTTAAACATTTTTTTTGTGAATATGCACATTATCAGTTTTGAAATAACAGGCTTAAAGGTGCTCTAATCGATGTCGGGTGACATGACTTCTTGTTGACGTTTAAAGTATTTTCAAACAAAACGGAGGCTAGATAGACCCTCCCTCCTCTTCATACGTGTACGGACCCCCCAAACCCCACCCCCAGGGCCTTCTTGTCCGTTATTGGCTGGAACAGTTTGTTATGTTTCTTGGAGCGGGTTGCTGCAGTTTGTTTTTGTTGCCATTTGTGGAGCCTGGGTTGTCTGCTTAGACCGCCTTTTTACAGTGTGTTTAGGTGACAGGCAGCTAGCGGATAGTGAGGAGATGTTTGCTGTATGTGACAAAAAAAAATGTTTGGGCCTAAAAAACGTGTGACATCGCTTAGAGCACCTTAATAAAGTGCAGGTTTCACAAGGTGTCCTTGTTACAGGGCAATTATACAGTTACAGTAACTACATGTAGCCTAGTTACTATAGGGTTAGGAGGGACTAGGTTTGGTTTAGGGTTAGTTGCATGTAATTAAGGTAAATTTATAGAAATTACAGTTACACTTTATTTTAAGGTGTCATTGTTACAGTGTTTATATACAGTATGTACTAATACTTAAACTTAACTTATGTATTTAAGTAGTAATATTAAGCATAGGGTTGGGGTAGGATTAGGATTTGGTTGAGGGTTAGTTGCATGTAATTATGCATCATTTACTGTTATTACTATGGTAATTGCATGCATGTAACAAAGAAACTGTAAAATAAAGTGTTTATATAATACATATGTAAAAAAAAAATATGCACGAAATTATAATATGTAAAATAAAGTGCATATTGATCATAAGTACAAATATACACCAGAAATAAATAGACATTAGTCATTACCCTAGTACAGCTATAGGGCAGCTCAAAGTGTCACAATAGAGCCCTACTATAACATCATTACACTAAACCCAATCTATGTTTCTATTTCAAAGCTAATCACGTCCTTGTAAATAATTGAGTCCCCAATAAGACCATGACTGCAACCCTGGCAAGGCAATTCAGCCAGTGTCAAACACAGTCACAGAGCTCAGCAAGAGAGCAAACATTGCGTCACTCATCCTTTTATCTTGTTATTTGCCAAGAAAAGAGAAATGTATCAAATTAGTCAATTGTGCCAAGGTCAATGCTTCATGAACATACATCAGTTTAGAAAGCACGATACGCTTTCTTGTAAGATTGTCTTATTAAGAATAAGTGCATTGAGAGAGCTGCCAGTATTTCAATTAACTGTGAACTGTGATGGTTTGGTAGTAGGCTACATGGATGGCAAGCACTTTAAAAGACTTTTAGTGCATCGAAGGAAGGGTGTGCAAAACGAGTTCTTCAATGACTGCAATCTATTAAAAAACAAAAATAATAGATGGATCAGATCATCTTTAATACAAGAAAGCATCATACAGACCGTTATTCCACTTAAGAACATAAACCATTTATGGCACTGGCACTTAATGACATGCTCTAGCACAGGTTCTCTCAGCATATCTATTGGCCCATTAAATCAAAGACAACGACTAACAGAGTCAAAGGCAATTTCCTTAATGTCTTCCTCTGCTGGCTCGGGAAAGGCTTGAAAGGATTATATAACACAGCATATGATGATCAACACATGAGCGCTCAGTTGCGTTTGATCTTTATTATTAGTCATGATTCTATAGGAACATTTATTCGACAGAAGGAACATAAGTTTACTTACTCGCCCCTGCGAAGCAGATGTGGCATCCAAACAGAGATAGAACAAGGCTCATAAAAGTGAATAGGTGAATCATATCTTCCTGAAGAGTTATTCCAGATGAGTGACGCCAATTTCCAAGGAAAAGTAACCTGAAGTTAGCATCCCTCCAATCATCACATGATTATCAACAACGCATTCTCTTTGCTACACTGTCACGACGATAAACAATCTAATAAAGCAGCAGCATCCTCTTCTTCTTCTTCAGCATCCACGCAGTCTGATGTCCAACGCACCTCAATCTGTTGCCATCCGAATCCGCGTCATAGAGAAAGAGCGAGGAAGACGCTTCCTTTTGCGATTATTTTCAGTGATTTAAGAGCCAAAGAAACCACGCTTTTTGATGTTTACAACGGAACTGGAGAATCGTCAGCCTCGCCACCAGTTACACGTTCGCTGCGCGTGCATAAGCGCGCATGGCGTCCATCACAAAGCTCGCGTTTTGCCTTTCTCACTTTATGCGCTCGCTCGTGTAAGACGCTTTAAGAATACCAATAAATCTGCGCTGCATCGCGGGCACATGACCCACAGGTGGCCAGTTACTGATTGATTCTCAGCAGTCACTCATTCCCCTTCTATAACCGCATGACGCACGAACCTGCGCCGGGATGAATGCAGTAAAAACACCCTCACCAGATCTGTTAGACGCGAGTTATGACGCCATTTAAACTTGCACATCGATAGACCACGGCAAACATCAACATCAGGAGAATCTCTCATGAACACCGAACTGTGCGAGCAGAAGAGGCAACGTTTTGACTTGATATAGTCTAAACTAAAGACAACAAAGCCATTTAAAATACTCGAATAGTTCACATGTGAGAAAAGAATAGTATTCATGATTACAGAATGGAATAGATCATTAAAGGAATAGTATTTGCAATAGTGTGTTATTTTATTATGGATACACAAGAATAAATATGAATAAAATAAAAATGGCATGCGTTAGATGATTCCCTCTATTATGCAAATGAGTTATAATTAAGGACTAACTCGGTTGGTCAAAATTAGTGACAATGCACAGTAATTTGCCAAATCTCAGATTGTGTGTTTCATAGAAAGAGGTATTTGTTTTTAAACCAACACCCAACAACATATTCGGTAACATCTTACAATAAGGTTAATTGGTCAACATTAGTTAACTGCCTTTTTTACCATGAACTAAGAATTAAAAATACATCTACAGCATTTATTAATCTTAATTAATATTCATTTCAACATTTTACAATACATTATTCAAATCGAAAGTTGTATTTGTTAACATTATTTGATACACTGTGAAGTAACATGAACAAACAATTTCATTAACTAACATTAACAAAGATTAATAAACTCCAAATATATTGCTCATTGTTAGTTCATGTTATGTTAACTAATGAACCTTACTGAAAAGTATTACGGTTACCACATGCTTAATATAAATTGATCAAATTTGTAAATTAAATAATGGATAGTCTATATGATTAAGAATACACAACCAAAAATGTGAATAAAAATCCTAAAATGAATAAAATATTTAGGGAAAAAAAGAAGGTTATGAGCAATTAAAATAAACATGAAATACCCATACACATTGAATATACCATAACAGAATAGAATAGAATTGAATAGAATAGAATAGAAAACTTCCTTGTCTACTGATCATTATATGCAGGCTAATCAAAAAAAAAAAAAAAAAAAAAAAAAAATCTGCTATGTGTCAATGCCCGTCTTATAGAGTTTTTTTTTTTTTTTTTTTTTTTTTTTTTACAGCTGATGAGTCAAAGTTCATTTGGTGAACTTTGTTATGCTCACTTTGTTCTCTTTATGGGCTTTTCCTCTCAGTCTTTTCCTCTCAGTGCATTGAATTTCATGCTTTTACACTGTGCATTGTTTGCCCTGAAAAGTCCTCATACTGTCTGATAAATATGGATCACTTGAAGGTGAGTGAAAACTGAACACTGTTAACTGCCAGTGCTTTCATTTCAAATGTCCTTTAGCTGGTAATAGACCAACAAATCTTCTTCTCTTGTCAGCCTAAATGTAATTATAGGAGCTCTTGAGTAATGCTGGTAATCTTAAGTGCTCGGTTTTTTTGTCTAACACAGCAGTCGTGTTACGAGCTCTCACTACCTGTGACGGAGAAAAGCAACCTCATCAGCAGAGATATTGACAGAGCGCACAGCAAACAGATGGTGCAAATACTGAAACGATGTGACGCCGAGATTTTTGAGAAAAAAATAAATCATGAGCCTTTTTATCAGGTTTGGCCTATTGCAACAAGATGGAATAATTGTGTTTTCTTAAGTCGTTACGCTCCTGACAAGATTATTGCACAATGCTGACCTGTGCATTTTGTTGTTTAGACACTGTATAGTGTACCTGTCATCCAAACGATGGTGGATGTTGCAAAGAGGGTTGAAATGATTCTGAGGGTCAGTATTTATTTCTTTTTTTGTGTTTGTATTTATATAAACAACACACATATATTGTGTAAACGTATGCGATTAATCATTTGCCCGCACTAATATACAGTTTACACTGTAAAAATGAATGTTTTAACTAATCAATAAAATTGTGGCAACAGATTACAAACAATATTATTAATTGATTTCAACAAATTAGAATTGAGTAATAATTAATCAAATTATTCCTTAAAAGTTAACCATCTAAAATGAGTAAAGTTTACACCAAAAAAAACAACGCATTCTCACCCCAAGGCGTCACCTTTGACCATGCTTCAATATTTGACGTTTTAGGCGCCCTTTAGCGTCACTTACATGACGCGATCCTACGGCGTCATCTAACTGACACTAAAGGAAAGCGTCAGTTAGAGGACGCGGTTAGGTTTAGGTGTGGGGTGGGGGTAGGGTACACGCGATCCTAGGGCGTCATCTAACTGACGCTAAAGGGCGCCTAAAGCGTCAGATATTGAAGCATGTCCAAATGCTTCCCAAGGCGTCAGTTAAGTGACGCCTTGGGGGTGAGAATGGGCTGAAAAAAAATGGTGCCTTATTGGTGCGCATAAGTGCCTTGCAAAAGTATTTGCACCCCTTAATTTTTTTCCCCATAATATATCCTAAAACCTGCTTTAAATTTTCTACATCTACACTCCATACACCATGACGTCAAAGCTGAAAATGGATTTGTGATAACTTTGCAAATTTATTAAAAATAAAAATGTAAAATAATTATATTGCATAAGTATTGATACCCTTTCCTGGGACACTTGAAATTTAGCTCCAATTTCACCGAATCATCTTTGAGATGTTACTTTGAGTGGAGTTACCGGTAATCTGTGGCAAATTTAATTGAATGAGTATGATTTGGAAAGGCACACACCTCTCAATAAAAGGTCTAACAGCTGAAAATATATATCAGAGCAAAAAACAAGCCATGAGGTCAAAATAACTGCCTATAGAGCTCAGAGACAGGATGGTGTCAAGACAGATCTGGGGAAGACTACAAAAAAATGAATCCTCTGTATTGAAGGTTCACAGAAGCAGGTCTCCCCCCCATAATCCGCGATAGAAGAGGTTTGGAATAACTAGAACTCTTCCTAGAGCCGAGCAAATAGACATATTGCAAACTGAGCAATCGATGGAGAAGTGCTTTGGTTAGAGTGGTGACCAAGAAGCTGATGGTAACTCTGGTTGAACTCCATGATCATAGATGGGAGAAACACAGAAGGACATCACTGTAACACTCCTTGGCTTGACTCTAGCCTCTACTCAGGGAAGACATGAAAACCCACTGGAAATTTGCAAATGAGCACCTAAGAAGTTCTGATGAAGCTCAGTTCCAAGCATCATGTATGGAGGAAACCAGGCACTGCTCATCACCTGCACAACACCGCCCCAACAGTGGTGGTAGCAACATCGTGTGTGTTTTTCAGCGGCAGGGACTGGGGGGGCTTGTCAGGGTAGAAGAAAAGCTCAACACAGTAAACTATGGAGGCATCCTAAGTGAAGACCTGGTCCAGAGCACTCAGAACTGGGCAGAAGGTTCACCTTCTAACAGGACAATGACCCTAAGCACACAGCTAAGACAATACTAGGCTTCTGGACAACTCTGTTAAAGGAGTAGTTCACTTTAAAAAAAACTTTTGCTGATAATTTACTCACCCCCATGTCATCCAAGATGTCCATGTCTTTCTTTCTTCAGTCGAAAAGAAATTAAGGTTTTTGATGAAAACATTCCAGGATTTTTTCTCCATATAATGCATTCAACGTCCAAAAGACAGTTTCAGTACAAACTGCAAACTGTTCAAAGGGCTTTAAACGATTCCAGACGATGAATAAGAGTCTGATCAAGTGAAACGATCGCTCATAAAAAAAAACAAAGTTTAAATTTTATAAGCTCAAATGCTCGCCTTGGTCTGTTCTGTGATGCACGTTCGTGACTCCCCTGTTCGAACTCATTCATCAAAATGAACAAATCTTTTTACGAGTCAATTCTTTCATTTCGTTCATTGAATGAACCAAATGACTTGAAAAAAGATTTGTTCATTTTGATGTACGAGTTCGAACAGAAGAGGTCCGAGTCAATTCGTTCATTTTGTTCGTTGAATGAACCAAATGACTCGAAAAAAGATCCGTTCACTTTGATGTACGAGTTCGAACAGGAGAGTCACGAACGTGTGTCACAGAACAGAGCAAGGTGAGCGTTTGAGCTAATAAAACTTAAACTTTTTTTTTTTAATGAGCGATCATTTCGCTTGATTAGACCCTTATTCATTGTCTGGAATCGTTTAAAGCCCTTTGAACAGTTTGATGTTTGCACTGAAAGTGTCTTTTGGACCTTGCACCGTTTGGTTCCATTAAAATGCATATAATATGGAGAAAAATGCTGGAATGTTTTCATCAAAAACCTTAATTTCTTTTCGACTGAAGAAAGAAAGACATGGACATCTTGGATGACATGGGGGTGAGTAAAATATCAGCAAAAGTTTTTTTTTTTAAAAAAAGTGAACTACTCCTTTAATGTTCTTGAGTGACCCAGCCAGAGTCTGGGCTTGAACCCAAACATGGGGAAACATCTCTTGAGAAACCTGAAAATAATACTTATGCAATGTACTTGTTTCAGTTTCAGTTTTTATTGGCAAATTTGTCTCAAATCGTGTTTTTTTTTTCTTCATTATGTGATATTGAGTGTAAATTGATGTGCAAAAAACGACATTTAAAGCAGTTTAACATAAGGCAGTAACATAAAATGTGAAAAATGAAGGGGTACAAATACTTTCGTTAGGCACTGTACATATTTCACATTTTTATTTTTCATTTTTTTTTATTATTCTTTTTACTAATTTAAGAAACGTTCTTTAACAATATTAAAACATCATAACTGATTTGTCTTTGCAGGACCAGGAGGAAAGTTTGATTGTATTAAGTGGTTGTGGAACATCAGGCCGTATTGCATTTCTTTTGGTGGTATAGATCTAGAGTTTAAGAAAGATTTATTGATCTGACATTTTACTCACAAAAGCGTTAAATTACACTTTATATTCATCATAATCAATTTCTATTTTCTATCACCTCAGTCGTCCTTTAATGAGATGTTGAAGGCCCAGAGACAGAAACAGATCTGTTCGTACATCATAGCTGGAGGTGACAGGTGAATAAACAGTCTGTCTGTTTGATGCATAAGATGAGACTCCAGCATGACACTGCAGTATTTCAGCTCTCTGTTTTTAAAGGGCCCTGCTGACATCACGGGAGGCTCCAGAGGACGACCCAGGGCTCGGCGCTCGCATGCTGGAGAAGGTGAGTGCAGGAGCAGAGAGCGAACACAAACAGTGCAATGCAGCTTTACCATACACTCTCAGAAAAAAAAGCTGTCACTGGGGCTGTACCTTTTCAAAAGGTACACTTTTGTATCCAAAGGCTACATATTGGTACCTTAGTGGTACATATTAGCACATCAAATGTACATTAGCTAATGAAATAGATATATTATCACCTAAAATGTACATATTACCACCTAAAAGTGTCATATTACCTCCTAAAATGTACATATTAGCACCTAAAATGGACATATTAGCTCATGAAATGGACATATTAACACCTAAAATTGACATACTACCACCTAAAATGTACATATTAACACCTAAAATGTACATATTATCACCTAAAATTGACATATTATCACCTAAAATGTATATTAGCACCTAAAATGGACATATTAGCTCATGAAATGGACATATCATCACCTAAAATGTACATATTAACACCTAAAATTGATATACTACCACCTAAAATGTACATATTAACACCTAAAATTGACATATTTATCTCATGAAATTGACATATTAGCACCTAAAATGTACATATTAACACTTAAAATGTACATATTAGCACCTCAAATGTACATATTAGCACCTGAAATGGACAAAGGTTTTTTTGAGAGTGTAATAAATCAGATTCAAAATTGACATACTACCACCTAAAATGTACATATTAACACCTAAAATTGACATATTTAGCTCATGAAATTGACATATTAGCACCTCAAATGTACATATTAGCACCTGAAATGGACAAAGGTTTTTTTGAGAATGTAATAAATCAGTTTCCCTGTGGTGAGAACAACAGGCTATTCTTTCACAGTTTCATTGTCAAAATGGATAACCTCCATCCCTCCTTCAATATAAGTCTTCATTTTTTTTTACCCGTTGATCACTATCTGTTGAAAATCAATCTAATGGATTAGAAAAGTACTGTAAGTGAGGTAACGTTACTTTTATTAAATAATTTGTTTTTGTATTTGAATTATGATACTAATAGAGATGCTTGCCTTAACAAAAACAATAGTTATGACACAATTAAACATACTTAACTTCTGGAAATGTTCTAAATTCTCTAAACAGGTTTGTGCAGGAAAGAAGGATGTGCTGTTCATTGGAATATCCTGTGGCATGTCGGTATGAAGTCTGTTTTCTCAAACCTATAGATCTCAAAAGACAATAGAAATCTCCCCATTTGTAGATTCATTGAATGAATTATAACTTAAAACCCGATAGTTTACACCAACTATTAGCGAGAACTAATGATAACAATAAAGATACAGTTGGTCACGGCTCTCGCTGAGAGTACCTAGCCTGACTCCTGTCCTCTGGGTGAAACGCCTCAGTGGTGAGAGCTGCGACTGGGCCAGTACCCGCAATCCTCTCATTCCTCAACACGATGAGTCCCCGGCCTCGGGACAGTTTTTGGATGAGTTGTGCTCGATTCGTAGCATGACTGACTACATCAGAATTCGTACTTCCGCTCTATTTAATTGCACTTCTGTACTGAGTCTGAGACGGTTTCGTTTTACAACGATGAGACAGGACAGCCCGAAGGGGAGGTTCTCTGCTCTTGACTGAAAATGATCTGTTCTCGACTGAACAGCTTTTGATACTATATTTGTAATGTATATTTTATTTATAAAGTGCAGTGTTATTTTATATTCAATTCACCTTTGGCTAAGCCCCGCACCCCCTTAGTTACTGTTGCTACATCCGTCAAACTTTATCTGCGCTCTGCATGGCTTATGCTGTGACAGCTCTTCCTGCTGAAATGTTATCAAACTTTTATAAAGCAGCAAATAAAGTGTCTGATAGAAGTAGGCAAAAGGGATATGCGTTTGAAGGCTATATTCAAGACATACAGATGAAACGCAAGAAACAACAAGGCATCCAAAATAGAGGCAAAAGCATAACGTTACTGGTCACAGTCAAAAAATGCACCACCACATTTCCTACTAATCGAGACGGAGGCTGGGACTAACAATATCAGGGAGCAACACTGTTCTTGCAAAGCTGGGTAGGTCTCTATTCACTTCTATGATCGTTATTACAAAGCAAACGGACTACAGGAGTATAACGTTGTATTTACTGCGTATCAACAACCGGTATGAGAACCGAAATCATAACTTAAAACATTATAAAACGGTCTAAGTAGTATAACTTCACAGTAAGGTTAGAAGTAAAAAAAGATGTGCTTGTTGATCTTTGCGGGGTTTAGCTGACTGAGGACATCCACATAGTTTAATCCAAAGACGACACTTGTCAGGATTTTACTTCGGTTTTGGGAAGGGAAAAAATGGACACCCCCCTCCAACCTCTCTGGGAAACGCGTATCTGTGTTACAAATACACGATGCACAACGTTTAACCATATTTTGGATGTAATAGCCTGCCGAGACCAAAAGTATGAGACGCCTGTTGAAAGTCAATGGAGCGCTGTGAAAAAGTGTCCGACCTCTGTGGGAGCTCGTTCTTGGATGCGCTGTGATTGGTCAATCTACATTCTAGGGCGTGGCTTAGCCAAAGGTGAATTGCAGTTTCTTTACTCGAATAGGCCTAGACCTATACACTGTAAAAATTAATATGCTTTATCTAATCAAAAAAAAAATGTGGCAACAGATTACAAGCAATATTATTAATTACATTTAACAAATTAGAATTGAGTAATAATTAATCAAATTAATTCCTTAAAAGTTAACCATTTAAAATGAGTAAAACTTACAAAAAAAAAAAAAAAAATTGAAGTCACCATTATGGTGATCAGTGTTTGTTTTAAAATGCCGGTTTTCTCCTTCAGTGATTCTGCTTGTTAACATCAGGTGTCTTCAATGTTGGCAATATAAAATAAAGAGTTCTCAATTAATCTTTGACATCTGTCTGTTAGTGAGATATTTTTGGGTGTAAACTTTACTCAGTTTAAATGATTAACTTTTATTCTTTTCAGTTTAATCAAAGGAATAATTTGATTAATTATTACTCAATTCTAATTTGTTAAATTTAATTAATAATGTTGCTTGTAATCTGTTGCCACAATTTTATTGATTAGATAAAACATATTCATTTTTACAGTGTACCTACAAATCCAAAAAACACTGTTTATTACAGTACATTTGTTTGTGCTATTTCTGCCTTGTTTATTTGTTCTTATTTCATCACCGTTTACTTGTCCTTTAGTAATGCTTGAAATGTATATTACTGGTAGTTAATAATTTTTTTTTCTGTGCTATTTTTGTTTAAAACCATAGGCAAACGTTCCTTGTGGAAAAGTTCTAAGTTCTTTAGCTTGTTTGTGTTCATGGAATTCAGCTGCAACTAAATGTTTTGCAAAAAAGACTTAATGTGAATGATTTTTTAACTTATTGGAATCAAAACTAGGAATTGGACTTGATAATCAGAATCGGAATCGCTAAACACCCAACCCTATAATCATATTTCATATTTCATATCAAAGAAACCTGCAGGTAACCTGTGAGTGTGCTTCATGATGCTCTTCTATTTCAAAGGCACCATTTGTTGCTGGGCAACTGGATTTTTGTCTGAACCACTTAGACATCTTCACCCCAGTGCTTCTAGGATTCAACCCCGTACATATGGCGAGGTAAGGCTAATCAAGGCAAAACAAATCCCTCTCTGTTTATTACAAACTTATAATTAACATTTTTTGTATCAAAAATAACAACAGATTGCTAACACTCATGCCATCCTTACAGGAGTGAGCAAATGCAGGACTGTTCATTTCACTTTAAAGATGTTGCAGAGAGGATGGCTGCAGAGCAGAGACATAAAAAAGCATACGTGCTAAATCCTGTGTTGGGGGTTTGAGAAAAATGCATTGACATAATTATTTAAATGAACACATAAACAATAAATATCAATGTTCTTACTGCTGTTTAAGGATCTCTGACCCGTCATGAGAAGTAATGATGCTGTTGTCGTGGTTGAAGAACCTCTGGTTTCTCTTTAGGCTGAGGCCATCAGCGGATCGTCCAGGATGAAAGGGGGCAGTGCAACTAAAATCATTCTGGAAACTGTTCTTCTGGCCGGACATGAAGCTGCATTTAGAGACAAGACGATGACACCTGAGTATGTTTTCAATTTGCAGTTACGTTTTAATTTAATTTAGACAAACATATTTAAAATATTAAAATATGTAGTATTATTTGTTGTGTGTGTGTATATATATATATATATATACATTTTGCTTTCAATTTTAGTTTCACCCCTTTTTGAGCATAGACATGAAAATGCAACAGTTGCAATTCACGAATGCTTTACAATACATACGTTTTTTTTTTTTGTTTTGTTTTTTTGTTTTTTTTAAAGAAGACACTCATTATATTATTACTCAAGTTAAAAAAAGTGTAAAAAAAAGTTTAGGTTTACTATAAAGCAAATGTGCTTCACTAAACATTTTAAAATTTAAACTGAAATATACTCTAAAATAATATCTACTCTAAAAATGCTATAAAATCAAAGACATGTCTAACTAAACTGTGGGTTTTTTTTCCGCTTTACCAAAAATAGCCACCGGGTGACACCCACATTACATTGAGGGTTTTGATGCATTCTCCTCTAACAAATTAATACATTTCTGTCACAACATCACTTCAATCACAACGATACATTCACCTTGGAGCGTATCACTGAGAAAGGTTCTGCTTTGCGATGAAGGTTCGGGATTGTTACGACCCTTCTTTGGCTCGTTCCCATCTAGGGAATTTTAGAAGGGGAACACAGAACCGGTTCAATGAAACCTCTCTATGGACCACTTAATGTGTTGAGAAAACACGAGAGACACTCAGAGATATAATGAAAAATAATTTAATAGTAAATAAGTTGGTTAACATAATATGTGAAAAAGGGCAAAAGGAAAAAGGGAAACAGGATTTGTGCCAAATAAACGAAAGTAACATAAACAATACTAACTAGACCATCTCCAATCTAAACCTAGACTAAAACAAAAGAACAAAGAAAAAGTCTTCAACGTCCTAGACGCCGTGTCTAAACTACACTAACTAATAACAAAAATACAGGGGGTGGCACAAATCTCTAACCTAGTGAATATAGACACACAGAAAAACCTAAGTGTGCAAAATGTATGTCACGTGACATTCTTACCTATTCCCTTTTCTCCTTCCCAACTAATCCAGCCTTGCAAAGCTGCTTAATAGACTCAAAATCTCACAAATGTGAAGTTTCAGGGAAAACTCGAAAGGTAAGCATAACATGACAAAGTAAAGAAAACATTTAACAGAACTAAATCAACTGGAGAGAAAACAAAAAAACAAACATCTCAAAACAAGACCAAAGTCTCTCAAAGCAAACACAAAAATCTCTCTCTCTTCCCGCAGTTAGCACGCGTCTTAAGTAGGGCTTCTCCAGGTGTCGCGCATCGGGCTGATGAAGATCCCGCCTCCCAGGCAAACCCGCTCATTACGCTGATTGACAGGTGTTATAGCCAATCAGCGACGACCTGCGAAAGCGAAAGTAAGGAAGAGAGACAAAAGAAAAACACAAACCTCGAAGGAAAACAATCTAACCGTCCCTAAGGACGTAACAGGGATGAATAACTAGTTCTTTTCCAAAGTTTCATCATCGGACTTGTGCTCGAATTGATAAAAATCAACGTCATCATTACAATCACTGAGGACTGAGGAAGACTCCTGAGCTGAAGTTCAGTTCTGTCAGGACCACTATGGTCAAATACGATTGACAATGAATTGACAATTAGCATACAGTTTGGATTGGCGGTCTGGTTCTGGTCTGGGCAAGAACTCCCTGTGCATCCATGCAGCCTAGCATGGATAAGAGCAGGGAGAGCAGCAATAACCGCCCTTAGGGTAAACAGAACAGAACCAACATGAATGTATTGCATTAATTCAAGATTTTAAAATACAACATATTTCGAGAATTTGTTCTGATTCAAAGGGGAATCAGAATGTCTTGCAAATGCTGACTGACTAGAGGAGGAGCTGGGGATGGAGGAGGGTAATTAGCTCCTGAGAAACGATAGCGGCTAATATTACCGAAGAAGCTCATATTCCTATAGATAGATGTGGATCAGCTAAAAGTCAGCTGATGCAAGCTTGACTAATGTCATCTGCTAGAACTGACGCTACGCTTAATTTATGGTATGGTCACATACCTTCAGACGAGCTCTGAGGTAGACCAATTGTAACAAACTTGCAACACTCTCTTGTTTGGTCACATACTTAAATGAAGGGGATCCATTCATCCAAGAGTAGAGTTAAGTAAATTTATGGTTTTGTGAAAAACCCAAAACTGTGTAGATAAACACACATCAAAATTGTCAGCAAATCATCACATCACAAGTAGCTCTTGTTAGAAGTGAGTGTTCCAATATTCCAAAAGTTCATTAGAAGTCCCGGAGTAGAAGTCCAACAGAAAGTGTTTAAATCATAAAGCATCAGTCCTCGTAATCAACAAAGGTGTAGAACCAGAGCACAACATAGTCCAGATGAAGTGTCCATATTGAATGAGGTCAACAGAGAACCCTCTAAACAAACAGGCAAATACAAATCAAAATATGCAAAAAAAACATTGATAATAAACAATCGAATTACAAAATATATACAACTTACATTGAGCTGTTGAACCAAAAAGATTCCTCAAAATAGGATTTTCTTGCATACAGTTGTGCAAACACTCAAAGCCATGCCAACACCTGTCTAAACACTCTTACTTGTCTCTCTTAGCCCTACCCAAAGAAATCTCTATAGCTCCCCCTTGAGGAACACAAGAAATGTAACATTCTTTCAGAACTGTTACAAACTGGGTCTACTGACCAATCAGAGCCGGCTCGTGGAAAGGAGGAGTTTAGAGAGACTGATTCATCTAACGAGTCATTTGAGAATCATTGAAAAATGTGGTGATGTGCAATGTATATCATTTACATAGTGCTTTTAACAATATAGACTGTTTCAAAGCAGCTTTA